CGTGTGCTCTTCCGATCTGAAATTTCTTAATTTATACATTTGAATTACGTCAATAAAAAGTTCTTTTCTACCTCGAAGTACTATTAAATAAATTATTTTCAATTTCGGAAATATTTTGGTAAAATTTCTATAATTTATTGCTACAGTTTAAATGAGAGTTTGAAGAAATAATCCACAATTTTATTTTTATCAATACTTTAATATAAGAAGAAACGGTTACTAATGTAATATGTAGATATTTATTAAATAAAAAAAATTTTTTTGAGATATGATTTTAGCATTTTAAGAGCAAATGTATAAATAGAACTCTGAAAAAATGTTTGTAGATTGCAATTCAATAGTCTTCGTATTATTAAAATTTTTGCAATATACAGAGTATTGTAAAAAGTCGATATGTGCAATAATTATTATAGATGTTTTTATATAAAACCTCTTTGTATTGCGGAAATTATTTATTTTTCACAACTATCAGGGTATTGTAAAAATTCATTATTTTTCACAATTGCCATTTTATTGTAAAAAAATGTTTTATCAAAAATTAATACCTTTTGTAACTGTCGCTGTATTGTAAAAATTATTCATTTTATGCAATTGCCGTTGAATAAATTTGTATTTTATGCAACAGTCAGAGTATTGCATAAATGTGGTACACCTGCGTCGCAGTAAATAATACAGTAGAACCTTTATATAATCCACTTCGTTATAGTCGCAACCTCTAAATAGTCGACCTCCAATTAAGCACATTTCAAGCCCACGTGACCATAATCTCTTGCGCAGTACAATGCGCAATCGGTCTATTCAGACTCGTAACAATCATATAGCTGCGAGGCCCAATCAATGTGCGATAAGGAGACAAATCTGGATCTTTTTTTATCATACAAATATTGTATAATACATTTTATTTAATAAAACTATTGTTGTATATCAGGATTATTAATTATATATTAACTATCTATGTAGTAAGCTGTTGTAATCTAACTAAATTCAGTGTGTCATAATGACAAATTATTTATCATTTTATGATGATGAATTATCATAAAATATTCATATTATCATATTCATCTCATTATGACAACAAAATTATGCCAAATCATAGTAGCTTACTACTTAGATAGATAATTAATATATTAATTATTGTACATCATTTTTAGTGTAAACAAGAACCAAAAGTCGAGAAAATTTATAACAGCCCTGCTTTGGGCGGAGCTAAGACAACCTCTTTATAGTCACATTTCGGTCCCGAGGGTGTGACTATAAAGAGGTTCTACGTATTCCTAGTCATTCAGTGATGACAGAATCAAGACGCAGTTTTCGCGATACAGTTACGGAATTGTAGTATTATTTGTAAGTGCCGTCTAGGTCTTTGCCGTCGAGGAAGTGAGTGTCTAGGTGTTGTTTAGATCTTCGCTGTTGAGGAACTGAGTGTCTAGGTGTCGTCTAGGTCTTCGCCGTCAAGGAAGTGAGTGTTTACATGATTGTTGTCGAGGAACTAAGTGTTTAGATGTCGTCTATCCCAATTTCGATCTTTAGTCTGATATAGGTTTTATCTTTGTTATTCATCGAAACAAGAATAACGTTACATCCGCAGAGCACTTGGATGAAAATCTGAAGGCGCCTCAAAGTTGCTAGACAGCAACCGCTAGCAATATTTAAGGCATGACGAGATTGGCGAGTCTCTTATAGAGTCTCTATTTACAAGGGAACACACAGAAGTGCTCCCGTCCGATTTCAATGAGTTTTAGATATGTTAAACTACAGACAAAAATAAGATACTACGATTTTTTTATACTTGCAGAGTCGCACATTAAGGGGGTAAAACATCCCTTAGAAAAAATTTTTCTAGTTCAATGGGAATATCGTCAAAACTACGAAAGATAGAAAAAATGTTTTTAATAAAAGTTGAATGGCTTTAAGAATAATTTATAATTATAATTTAAAATAATTTTTTTATTATTTATTTTTTTACCCCCATCACCCAACATTTTTTAATTTTTCAAAATTTTTTTCTACCAAATTAAAGAGTATTTTAAGACGAATTCAACAATGTGTGATAAAGTTATTTTCCAAAGTATCATTTTCGAGAAATAATTATAAACGTCTCTGTACGCACACCATCCTTACTCGTTTATGCGCTAATTTACCTATGTGAACTTGGCACCTGACTTTTACTAAAATAATTTTACAATAAAAAAAAGTTAGTATTTTGTTTTTAGTTGTTTGTAGTAGTATAATTTTGTTTGTAAATTTATAAAAAGAATTTTGAAAAAATGACTATCACCCGACTTTGGGTTATAGAAAAAACAATAATATATCTTGATTTAGAATCGTTTCTAGTAATTTGTAATGACTTCCCCGTCGTTTGTAGTTGAATTATTCAAAAGTTGCAATATATTAGCAGCAAATAAAAAACATAACTTTGTCAATTTTCAAGATGCCTCGAATTCACTTGCGGCACAATTTTTATAATCATTTTTAAATGTTTGTAGTGACTTTCCTGTCGTTTGTAGTTGAACCGTTCAAAAGTTACATTATATTAGCAATAAATAAAAAATGTATTTTTGTCAATTTTTAAGATATCTCAAATTCGCTTACGGCATAATTTTTAGAATCGTATTTTACGCTGAAAACAATGGTGTGTGATAAAGTGTATAACTGTAAAGTGTAGAAATGTATAACATATTTTATTTTTCACGATTTATATATTTGTGTCATAATGTCTTACCATCTAAGTACATATAATCATTGAAAATTTATATCGCGCAAGGCTAGAAAATAATTACAATACATTTGAATGAAATCATGAGTATCAAGAATAAAATAGCGGAAAACGCACGCACAGTAAATTATGCATTTTTATAAACTTCGTATTACAAGTGATTGACATTGAATTTTATAAACGATATACCTTATAGCGTGAACTGTGTGTCTGATTGCTCGAAGGTATGTTATTATTTATATGAATAATATTTAATCTTTTTCATATCAAAGTCGCTCAAAGCCATTTAAATATATGTGAACGTATAGTATCTTGCATTCTGCCAAGTGTACGTTACATACTTACATCAAACGGAAAGTGAAGTATCTGTCCAGTGGTCGTAAATTGTTTCGTGTATCAAAATAATGATGTGCTATTTTGAGCGAGAGTGAGTCGCTCAAATAAATCATTCGTTTTACGTAGTGAAATACGTAGAATAGCATGAGCAGTAACAGGGAAAAGTTACCGGGAAACGAGAATAACAAGAAGAATCCCTCCAGCAAAGAGGACAGTCCGTCGGACGATAAAAAAGATGATGGTTCAGCCTCGACGGGAAGTAATGGCGGTACCACGGAAGAACCGTCGCAGCCCGGTAGTAAACCCAGCTCCGTGGGCGCGATCGTCAGAGAAGAAGCCCAGAGGCTGCTGGACCTAGCGGCACGCAGGGAATGGGACGTCGTGGACCAGCTGCTGAAGTCTTTGGAGAAGACTGTGCAGAGCACTGGGGAGGATGGCTTCATTGTACCGCTCGCCGGTGTTTTGGATACGGTTAGTTTCCAAGAAAATTAAAACATCTTAATCTCTTTCAAAGATCTTCCGCGTATCATTCACATGACTATGTCGATGAGGCCGAAGAATATCTGGCACAAAAGAAATCAATCAGATTTTCAGAAATAATTGTGAAAGCGTGTAATGTTTTAAATGGATAAAATAAATCCTTGTCATAGAAATGTCTACTCGCAGGAGACTTTAACAAAAAGTTTTAAATAGATGCGAGACGGTCAAACAATTATAGAAGGATCGCACGACACATTTATTTTTCTATACTAAAATTTTTTCATTTACAGACGACGGGGATGACGCCGTTGATGTACGCAGTGAAGGACAACCGCAGCGAGCTATTTGATCGGATGATCAAGCTCGGATCCGACGTGAACGCCAGAAACATTGCAAGTATTCTACGATAAATAAGACAAATTGTTTGATAAATCGAGAGTCTTTATTCTTAATAAAATTCAAGAAATATTTATTTATTTTATAATTGTAATAAGAATCATATGTGGGCGAATACATTTTTTTTTTAGATATTTCATTTAAAACCATGAGAAAAATGTTTGATTCATCATTTCTTGATTCATTGTCATCGTGATAAGTTCTTGTGCTGGGATTACGTGGCATTGACACGTAATAATATCCGCGAATGTGAACGTGCCATGAAACGTGTACAGCTAATGATCAGGTTACAATCTGTGCTAAATCAAGTTACTAACAAGTAAACCTTCCAAAGTGTAACTCTCCCATTTCATTCAAATTTAGCATAAATATAGAACTGTGAAAAATATTTTATTTATGTCTTTTCATTTTGACTTATGCGGTTTTAAGAGCAAGTATTATAATTTAAATTTTCACCTTTTTATTAGCTATAGACGTAATAATATTTAATTACGTTGTAATATTTGTTGAGATTTCTTTATGCGAAATTTAGTATCTCTAAAGTTAGTATCTCTAGATATAATATTTTTACGATTACTCCTACAGCACTTTTCGTAATTTAATCAATTATAAAGTGTAAGAAAATGTAGTAAACGTAGTAAATTAATTTTCTTTATTTATTATAAATGGTATAAGCATTTGACATTTTACATTTATAAAATTTGAGAAATATACCTTATTTGAGCAGTAAAATTGCAAAGAAGAACAAAGTTTTTTAAATTTTTTGAAAACACAGTTTATTTTGTGATTCAAGTAAACCATATTTCTAAAATAATTAATAAAAATTGAAAAAGAATTTCCTCTCATATTTATACATATTTTTTAATTTTTAATTTCTCTATTTTATCATGCTAGATAATTATCCTCGTATTATGAGTAGAGTCAGAAAAAGAATCGTTTTAACTTGCAATTTTTTTTAATCTCATTTTTTGTCGCAGAAAGGAAAAATACCTCTTCTGCTAGCAATCGAGGCTGGTAATCAGTCGATATGCCGGAAACTTTTGGCACATCAAGCACCAGATCAGCTATGCGCCACTACGCCAGCCGGTGATTCCGCCATGCATTTGGCCGCTAGAAGAAGAGACATCGACATGATGCGGATCCTGGTGGATTACGGTGCTGCCGTTAACATGCAAAATGTACGTTAAATTTTAAGCGCGAAGATTCCACATGAAGTGAGCCAATAATAATCAGACGGTATATTTTGTTGAAACTTTGTCAATTGTATATTTTCGCTGAATGTTTCAAAGCTCGCAAATTATACTTACGCTCTGAACTAAATACCATGCAAGTTTTTTATTTTTATCTGCATTTTGGTAAACTATTTAATTGTTTAATTATGTTCTCTACAATTTTATGCCATTCGGAAATAACCATTTAACTATTTTATCTTTACATCGCGTAAATAAACAATTTCGAATTTCTGAGACATAACGTCGTGTGATATAATGTTTAACTTCTGGTAAAATTAGTGGAATTTTAAACAGGTTATCCAAGTATTTTGTATATATTTGTATTATAACGCAAAGCGCTGAATCTCGTGTACACCGCAATTCTATTCTGACTTCAATTGTGACCCTGCAAGGAAAGTACAAAATTTAACAAGATCGATCGTACATGGAACAGAAATGACGCACATGTTAAATTGCTGCAACTGCAAGTTCTATATATGTTTTTGAAATAAGCAATTAGAAACGAGATGGGCATAAAATTTACGATGAGGTCTTAAACTTTCTAAATATTTATTTAATTGTATCGTCGTTTCCTTCATAATTTTGCGATGCTGTTTTTACTATCATGCAACAATATCCAATGGCTTTTAATTGAGCAAAAATTTATAAAAACAATTATAAGATAAGTGTATGCATAACTAATGAGAATAAGAATTGATTAATAAATATAAACAAGACTTTAGGTTTTCGTATATCTGCAATATGTTTGGTACATTTAAGATATAAAATAGAAACAAGGTAACGATATAAGTTGAGTTATAATTAGTAAAAGGTGAAAAAAGAGATAATTTTATTACTAACGTAATCGAAAAAAAAGTAATTTAATAAACTAAAATAAAAAAGAAAAAATAATTTTTCGAATTTTATTGTATAACCAATATATAATAAATAAAATAAAAATGTATAAAATTTATTATTAAACAAAACTTATAACATGCAATATTATCGAGAGATATACGTAAGACGTAATACGTATATAATTTTATACATATTTCAGAGTGATGGACAAACTGCGTTACACATAGCGAGCGCCGAAGGTGACAAAACTTTAGTGAAGTACCTTTACGATGTCAGAGCCTCTGCCTCGATCACCGATCACCAAGATTGTACGCCGATGCATTTGGCCGTAGAGAACGGTCATGCTACCATTATCGAGCTGCTGGTCGATAAATTCAAAGCAGATATCTTCGAAACGACGAAAGACGGCTCCACTCTGATGCACATAGCATCGCTAAACGGTCACTCGGAATGTGTCACTATGCTCTTGAAGAAGGGCGTATATCTGCACATGACAAACAAACATGGTGCCAGATCCATTCATACGGCTGCAGGATACGGCCATGTGGGTATTATCAGCACTCTGCTGCAACGAGGAGAGAAGGTAAATGATCTGTCAGCGATGTGGAAAATACTATCACACAATTGAGAATATATCATATGACATCGCATGTATAACTCCTCAGTTATAATTACTTTGACAAAGCCAAAATTAATTTTTTTGCTTATAAATATTTCGCATATATTAAATTCGATCTTTATATATTTATATTAATTTGAAAATACCATATTTTTATTTTCTGAAAAGTATTTATCACCTACACACACACACACACAGAGAGAGAGAGAGAGAGAGAGATGTGAAATCAAGTATCAAAAAATTTGGTTTTTTAATTTTTTATTTAATTTAAGATATTTTCTACGTATCTCCAAATACTAAATTTTATTGTATGGAAACCGGTTATTCTTTTTGTATCTAGGTGGACGCAATAACTAACGATAACTGTACGGCACTCCATATAGCCGTGGAAAGTGCCAAACCAGCTGTCGTAAAAACCCTTTTGGGATACGGTGCAGACGTACACGTGAGAGGTGGAAAACTTTGGGAGACTCCACTTCACATAGCTGCTAAAGTGGTTGATGGCGACAAATGCGCTCTGTTGTTATTGAAATCAGGAGCAAATCCCAATCTAACAATCAACGACGGTCAAACGCCCGTGCATGTGGCAGCCAGCCATGGGAATTTAGCGGCACTCCTTTTACTCCTCGACAATGATGGTGACCCGATGTTTAAATCAAAAGTACGTCGACAAAGCAAGAAATAAGATATAATTTATAAAAATACATTCTTTATATAATATTATAAAATATAATAATTAAACAAATTAAACGTTGTTTTTTTCATTATGTTTCAACAAATAATTATATATATTAAAATAATTTTTTCAAAACAATGAATGTTAAATTATTTCTATTTATTCTGAGCTTTCTATGTTCCTTAGAAAGGAGAAACACCTTTGCATTTAGCCTGCAGGAGTTGCAGAGCTGACGTCGTCCGACATTTGATAGAATTTGTAAAAGAAAAAAAAGGGTCAGAAGTGGCTGCCGCCTACGTAAATAGTCTGACTAACGAAGGTGCTAGTGCGCTCCATTACGTAGTCCTAATCGAATCTTCGGAAGTCGGAACTCCAGGCGATGATCGCGCCATCATTCACGTCCTTCTTGAGAGCGGCGCGAACGTCTCATTGCAGACCAGACAGACTCAGGAATCAGCGTTCCACCACTGTGCACTCGCCGGCAACAACGAGGTTCTGACGGAGATGATCAGTCGCATGTCAGCTACGGAAATGCAAAAGGTCTTGAACCGGCAGAATGCCATGGGTTGGACGCCGCTGCTGATTGCCGCTCATCGGGGTCATATGGAAATTGTGACCACTATCCTCGCCAATCACGGAAGAGTCGACGTGTTCGATCTCGAAGGTAGATCCGCTCTTCATCTAGCCGCTGAACACGGCTACCTTCAAGTCTGCGATGTGTTGTTGGCAAACAAGGCCTTTATAAACTCCAAATCATACGTGGGAAACACTGCCTTGCACTTAGCTGCCATGAATGGTTACACGCATTTAGTACAATTCTTCGTACAGGGCCATAGAGCCGAGATAGACGTACTCACACTGAGGAAGCAGACTCCTCTTCACCTGGCAGCAGGAGCGGGTCAGTTGGAAGTCTGCAAGCTATTATTGGAACTCGGCGCAAGCATAGATGCCACAGACGACCAGGGGCAAATGCCGATTCACGCTGCGGTCATGAATAACTACGCCGAAGTGGCGCAACTCTTTTTACAAAGGCACGCCGGTCTGATGATGGCCTGCACCAACGACGGCAATACCTGCGCCCACATCGCCGCCATGCAAGGCAGTGTCCGGATGATCGAAGAGCTGATGAAGTTCGACAAGCAGAGTATGATAACCGCTAGGAATAAACTGACGGAAACGACTCCTCTGCAGCTAGCGGCAGAAGGTGGTCACGCCGAGATCGTGAAGGCTCTGATTAAGGCTGGCGCGTCCTGCGCTGACGAGAATTGCGCTGGTTTTACCGCGGTTCATCTAGCGGCTCAACACGGCCACTGCCACATACTTGAAGTGATGAGGTCGTCACAATCTCTTAGAATATCCAGCAAGAAGCTCGGCGTCACTGCGCTTCATGTTGCTGCTTATTTCGGACAAGCCGGTGAGCAAAAATCTCATAAATAATATATATGTTATATATATATATTAGGATGGTTCTTACTATTTATATTAGTTCAAAATTTATTTAAAAAAATTTTTTTACTTATCCTGTATAATGGTTCCATTTAAAAAAAAAATCCCTATAAAATTTCAGTTCATTGGGGGAAAGATGAATGTTAAAAAGCGTTTAAAAGTCCTAAAATAGGATAGATGATAACACAGTTCAATAAGAAAAAAACATGTAAACGGGACTATTTATTTCCTGTAGTTTTTTAGACGCTGTATTTAAATCCGGGTGTAAAATTGCTCTATCACGTTACAATTTTGAAAAATTTAAAGTTAAACAACATCTCAATTTTGATTGCAAGAACATACTTCTCTAGCACGTCGCATTTCGAAGTTATATTATAACAAAATACGTAAAATTAGGTTTTTTTTTGCAACTTTACCTGTTACTCTCTCAAAATTGAGACATAATAGAGCAATTCTACAATATTCGGATTCAACGTCAAAAAAACGACTACTTTCATTATGGTGTTCGAAAAAAGATCATTTTTTTGTTAAACAGTGTAATAATTAATATATTTTACATTTATTACAATTAATATTTATTCAAGTTGTGACGAGACAGTCAACTTTTGCCAGTGGATTCGTGTTCAGCAGGCAAAAATACGTCGCAAATGACTTTTGACACTCGTGATACGAAATCCTGTCTTATGTTGTATATTATACATATATTAAAATAATAATTTTGTAGGCTACTTTAACATTGATAATATACAATAATAACAGTTTAGTAAATTATTTTTTTAAATACATATTTATCCTAAAAAATTAGTTTAAACAAAAAATCAATCATTTTTCGGCACTCTTTCCCGTTATTCGATTGAGCTAAAATTTTACAGAGATTTTTTTTATAAAAAAAATTACTCTGAACTATGAGATAAAAAAGATTCTGTACTCGAAAAATAATGACCCTAATAAATAATAATTAATAATACTCTATACATAAATAAAGAAATATGCATATATATAGTATAAATACACACATATCTATTTATTTATTTATGTATAGAGTATTACTAATTAACGATAAAATATCATTGATAAAGCCAATTAATTAGTATCATAAGAACCTATTACTAAATTTGAATGCATTCACTATATATTCAATGTACATATATTGAATGCATTCAATGTAAATTTAAATATATTTGTTCGATATATCCGTATATCAGTATTTTCAAAAGAGACATTTAAATATGTAAACTGATGAAATAGCACTCTTTCAATTGTACTTCGTCATACTTTCTTTATATTTTATTTATAAAAAGAGAATAAGGTAAGTGTCCCTATTAGTGTGCCTTTAAGAAAATTCGTTCATTACTGATTTAATCTTTAAATACTGTAGCTTTCAATTTGTCGGTTTAAAGTTAATACCAATTTTTCAAATATTTCTTCTTACAATTTTTTTTTATATAAAAAATATTAA